AGATTAAATGATGAAGGAATAAGTGATGAAGATTATTTACATGCTCAAAATGTATGGAAAGAGTTTAATTGTAAAACATTCAGAGATTACCATAATTTATATAACGAATCTGATGTATTACTACTAGCTGATGTCTTTGAAAATTTTAGAGATGTCTGTTTTAACAATTACAAATTAGATCCTGCTTGGTACTATACAGCACCAGGATTAGCTTGGGATGCTGCGTTGAAAATAACAGAAGTAAAATTAGAATTATTAAGTGATTATGATATGATCTTAATGATAAAAGAAGGAATAAGAGGTGGAATTAGTATGGTTTCTAACAGGTTAGGAACTGCTAACAATAAATATATTGAAAATTATGATGAAAGTAAAGAATCTACTTACATACAGTATCTAGATGCAAATAATTTATATGGATGGGCAATGAGCAAACCACTTCCTACACATGGATTTCAATGGATGAATGAAGAAGAATTAAAAAATTGGAAATCTACTTCTTGCATATTAGATGTAGATTTAGAATATCCTGAATATTTACATGATGTTCATAATGATTATCCTCTAGCCCCTGAAAGATTAAAAATAGACAAAGTTGATAAATTAATACCTAATTTAAATCATAAGACAAATTATATCATACACTTTGAAAACTTGAAACTCTATGAAAAACTAGGAATGAAAATAACAAAAATTCACAGAGGAATAAAGTTTGAAGAAAGTGCATCGTTAAGTAAATACATTGAACTCAATACAAATCTAAGAACAAAAGCAACAAATGACTTTGAAAAGGACTTTTTCAAACTTATGAACAATTCAGTATTTGGAAAGACAATGGAGAACATTGAAAACAGAGTTGATGTGAGATTAGTTTCTAAAAGAGAAGAAGCTATTAAATTATCATCAAAACCAAATTATGAAAGTAGAACGATATTTGATGATAATTTAATTGCAATACATATGAAAAGAACAAAACTAGTTTATAACAAACCCATTTACTTGGGTATGTGTATTTTAGATTTGAGCAAAACACTAATGTACGAATTTCATTATGATTACATGAAAAATAAATATGGAGATAAAGCTAAACTATTATATACAGATACAGATTCATTAATCTATGAAATAAAAACAGAAGATTTTTATAAAGATATTTCTAATGATATTGAAAGTAAATTTGATACAAGTGAATTTAATAAAGATCATCCAGCTGTTCAAAATGGATTTAAAGTTGGTGTAAATAAGAAAGTAATAGGAATGTTTAAAGATGAATCAGCAGGAAAACAAATTACGGAATTTATTGGACTCAGATCAAAGTTGTATTCTTACAAAATAGATGAAGAAGATAAAAAGAGATGTAAAGGAGTAAAGAGAAATGTAGTAAAAAGTTATATTACACATGAAGATTATAAAGACTGCCTGCTTAGCAGGAGAGATCAAATGAGAAAAATGAATGTCATAAGATCTCGTTTACATGATGTTTATACTGAAGAAATAAACAAAATAGCATTGAGAGCAGAAGATGATAAAAGAGTAATTCAAGAAGATGGTATTCACACATTAGCATATGGACATTATAAATTAAAAGAGAATAAAACATTGGTTCCTTCGGAACCCAAACCCAACTTTTCATTTCAAATTGATTGGAAATAAACAGGCAAGCAAGCAGGCAAACACGCAGGTAAGTTATTTTTTATATCTTAAAAAGATCTAAAAAAATCTAAAACTATTAATAAAAATGGACAAACATATCAATGTTGAAGGAATTATATTGCCAAATGTACCCTTAACAAACTTTCAATTAATAAAAGCAGCAAAAAAATTAAAAATTAAAAACTTTAGAGGTGTATTTGTAAGAGATGAATTACCTAAAAATACACAAAACAAAGAATGTGGAATATTAAATACTGGAGATTCAAGTACGAATGGATTTCATTGGATTTGTTGGTATAAAGATGGAGATGAGAAATTAAGTTTTGATTCTTATGCATTACCACCTCCAGTTGAACTTGTTCAATATTTACACAGTCCTGTTTATTATAATAGTAAAAGAATTCAGTTTGGAGACACTTCTTTTTGCGGACACTTGTGCCTTTATGTATTAAAAAAGCTTGATGAAGGTGTTGATTTTCAAAGTATTGAAAACTCATTATATTGAATTAAAAAAATATAGCATATTTAAAATGAGTATGAATATAGCTGGTAGTAATTCATTATATGGTTACACAACAGATGGATTAAATATCAACATTAATGTTGGCAATACAGCCACTACTGATGTTGATTTGAATTCACATAAATTGATCAATGTAGCTGATCCTACAGATGCACAAGATGCAGCTACAAAGTATTATGTAGATAATAATCAAACTTCTAGCAGTGCATGTCTAAAATTAGATGGAACTAATAGTATGAGTGCTAATATAAATTTGAATTCACATAAATTGATCAATGTAGTTGATCCTACTAATGCACAGGACGCTGCTACAAAAAAATATATTGATTCAACATATGAATTTATTACAAATTATATAGAAAGAATAATTCCTTATCCTCGTAAATATAAAGTTTTGATTGTAGCTGGACAATCAAATACTTATTATGGTAGAGAATGGGGTCATTCTGCTGCAATAACTACTGTAAATTATATGCATAGACGAATAGTACAATTTGCAATGGATAATGGACAAAATGATGTGTTACTTCCTTGTTCTCTTAGACTTGAAGTAAATGAATCAGATAATATGTGTTATGCTGGATATGGTTCAATATTAGCAGGTTTAATAATGCAAGATGCTGATACTTCAAACACATTAAATATAATACATTCAGATGAAAGTTTAATGATACTTCCATGTATGTTAGGTGCAAGAGGTTTTAGTGATGATTATTTTATGCCATATGGTACTGGATTTAGAAATTTAACTCGTAGAATTAGATATATTTTATCACATTATAACGCAGAATTTTGTGGTATGACTTGGGCTCAAGGAGAAAATGATTCTATAGATGGCTGGAATAATAATTATAGACATATTCTAGTAAACTTTATTCAAACCATAAGAGATTATATAGGGTATTCATCTAATCAGTTTTACACGTTAACAAATTCCCAAGCAAAATCAAATACAATTCCATTCCTTACTTTTCAAATGAGGCCTGGATGGGTTTCAGCTAATTCAGCAAGAGCAACACCAGTTCAAAATGCGCTTTCAACTATTGGAGAATATATTCCATACGCTGCAAGCATATCTATTACTAATCTTCCACCTTCTATGAGAATTACAAACGATGACACCGTACATTACGACTCACGTCAACAAATATTTTTAGCTCAACAATTTTATAATGCATTAATTACAGCTAAAAATAATTTATATGCTAATAGTGTTTATTATCCACTTTACATATCAGGAGAAACGCTAATTGTTAGGCAAGTACCAACAGATTTATTTCCAACTAATTATTATGGATCACTTAATTATGATAGTGCTAATCCAACTACAGCAACAAAATATAGTCAGTTGTCTAATAACTATTTTTATAAAAACAAAGATGGATATTATAAATATCGCTTAAAATATAAAATTAATGGTGAATGGAAAAGTATTATATTTAAACAAGCATTCCTTCCAATGATGTCTATGCATTATCAAAATATTGCACAACTCATATCAACTGAAACACCATTCGGTAATACAAACACAGGACAAGGATTTTGCGGATTAAATTTGACAACTACAAAAAGCATGATGAATTTAGGAGCGGTACTTACACTAGATACAGGTGGTGGATATTGGGCACCTGTGTGTACAAATAGCAGTTTTACAGATGGATCTGCTAATGTTTTTCCTGTATATACTAATTACATTGAAAATAGTTCAACTACTTTAGTAACTGCAACTGAACTAGAATTATATGCTATAAGAGACTCTATATAATATTGTTAAAACAATTCTACTACGCATAAGCGCTACTACGCGTAAGTAAATCCTAGCGCATGCGCATTAAAAAAATAAAAAAATTTGAAAATGAGTTAAATAATTTTCTTGTGTATATAAAAAGAATGAATCAAGAAAATAAACGTACAAAAATTGATTATGCTGCTCAAAATGGTCGCCTTGAAGTAATAAAATATTTACATTCTAAAGGATATAAAGGAACAGAATGGGCAATTAATTATGCTGCAGCAAATGGACATCTTGAAGTACTTAAATATTTACATGAATTAGGGTATAAAGGTTCTGAATGTGCAATTGATTATGCTGCTATAAATGATGACCTTGAAATTATTAAATATTTACATGAATTAGGGTATAAAGGAACAGATCAAGCAATTATTAATGCTGCAATTAGGGGTTACCTTGAAGTACTAAAATATTTACATGAAATAAATACTGGATATAAATGTGATAAAATTGCGTTTAATTGCGCTGCAATGAATGGTCATCTTGAAGTAGTAAAATATTTACATGAATTAGGGTATAAAGGTGATGAATTTGCGATTATTAATGCGGCAGAATATGGTCGCCTTGAAGTAATAAAATATTTACGTTCTATTGGATATAGTGAAGTATTTACATGAATTAGGGTTTGGATTCATTTTATAACGCTTTCAGAAACAGCAAGAAAAAGTCATTCATGCAAGAATTTTTCGTAACATTTCATAACAAGAAATAAAAAATTAACACTTATTTTAAAAAAAATCAATTTTTTAAAATAAAAAATTATTTCTTGTTGAAATAATTTATACACAATATGGTTCAATGTTAACCCAATATTAATATTAATTTATGGTTGAAAATTTGGTTGAAAATAAAAAATCCCTCTGAATTGGCAATCTCTTACTACTCATCGATTTTGTACAATGAATACTCTTATGACCAAAAGCCTAATGATTATTATAAGCATAACCCAACTTGGGTTATAAGCATAACCCAACTTTAAAGGAAAGTTTTTCTGCATGTTTTTCTAACCAAGTAATAATGCACTAAAAAGTGGATTGAAAAAAAATAGCAACAAATTTATTGTCCCAAAAAAAAACTATAATCATGCACTGAAAAACAACCTTTCGTCAACAAAAGAATGGCACAAATTTCCATTGATAAAGTGTAAGATAACAGATAGTCAGTATCTAACTTGTTTTGTGTTTTTTTTAAAGGTAACTTAATTACTTTTTTGTAGCAAAATGTTTTATAATTAGATTCATTTTCATGTTGTGAAGAATACAACTTTCTACATCAGATGAGATATATGTTAAAGAAAACATTAAAAATAAGAATAACAAATCATACCGCTCTTCATTACCAGAACCTCCGCCACCTATTATGAATAAGCCCAATGATAAAAGTATAACACAAATATCATATTTTTTTCTTAATGGTTTATAAACTGAAATAGATTCTTGTTTAATTTGATCTGAATAATATCTATCTAGCTATTAGTCTTTTTTATGTATTACTAAGATTTTCCTTTTATTTTAACTATTTGGGTGTCCTATTATATGTGATGTTGTTAAATTGGATACATATATTTATATGATTGACAACATTATATTGTATTAAATAATCCTTTAATCAACTTGATATGAAAATTGAAAATTGATTGAAAGCATGCTGAAATTGTTTAAATTCAGAAATTGAAAGAGTACAAAATTGGTTGAAAAATTAAATTAAGTAACAGGTATGGTTGAGGGATTATTTATAGTTCTAATTATAATTATTTCTTTTGAATAGAGTTGTTATCAGATTCAAAGATTGAAGAAGATAATTTTTCTTCACATTTTATTAATGAACAGAATAAAACCAAGCAAAGTTCACATTGTCAAAGAGTTTCAAGTTTTAATATGACTTTTTTTGGTTTTTACACCACTGAATGTTAATGTGGAGGTCTTTTTTATAAATTTGCTTTTGTATTAAAATAATTGAAAAAGATAGGTATAAAAGAATAGAAATGGATTATTTATAATATTGTGATCCGATAAATGTGTGTAGCATTTTACCTTAAGTAGTTAAACAAAATTCTTTAATATCGTAACTTTTTACAGGATAAAGTTTTAGCTGATTTAAAAAGTAGGTTTTCCAAAATATTATGGCAACTTCTGCGATGGTATAATTAAAAAACTTAAATGTATTTTTGGAACTTTAGTTTGAGTTACTCAAGCATAATTTGAATTTTAAAGTTCATTTTTCATTGTTTTGCTATTTGGTTTTATGAGCTAAATATGTTAATCAATCTTTTTATTCTTGTTTGTAGAAATGCAAAATGTTATTCTCAACGAGCTTGCAGAAATAAAAGATCTTTTAAAATAAGTTATAGAAATTAAGTTTCAGGCTACTGGGGTGAAGTTGCTAGAATCAGTGGACGAAGTGGTTTCACTGGATAATAAACTAAAAGATAAAACTGAGTATACTAATTTGGTATAATCTAATTATCTTAATTTTTAATAAGTTTGTTTAAAATTTGGTTTACTTGTTTAAAATCTAAATGAAAAGTATTTGTAAATGAACTAAAATAACTATATATATATATATATATATATATATATATATATATATATATATATATATATATATATATATATATATATATATATATATATATATATATATATATATATATATATATATATATATATATATATATATATATATATATATATATATATATATATATATATATATATATATATATATATGTATATATATACACATGTATATATATATATATATATATATATATATATATATATATATATATATATATATATAAATATATATATATATATGTATATATATATATATATATATATATATAAATATATATATATATATATATATGTATATATATATATATATATATATATAAATATATATATATATATATATATATATATATATATATATATATATATATATATATACATGTGTATATATATACATGTGTATATATATAAATATATATATATATACATGTGTATATATAAATATATATATATATATATATATATATATATATATATATATATATATATATATATATATATATATGCATGTATATATATATATATATATATATATATATATATATATATATATATATATATATATATATATATATACAGGCCTTGCGATAAAGCGTCGGGCGATGTGAATTTTACGTCGTCCAAGAGCGATTTTGCGTGTAGCTAGGGCTATTTGCGTCGAGCAAAAAATTTTTTGTTTGAGTATATTTAAAGATATTTTTGAGCGGAATTTTAATGAAGTAATTTACGATTATTTTAACATTTAATAAAGTATTTTAAAAACCGCACGCAGTTGAAATAAAAGTTTGAATTAAAAAGAATTGAATATGTTTGAATTAAAAATATTGAATAAAAAAAAGTTTGAATTAAAAAAAGTTTGAATTAAAAATATTGAATATACAAGTAGAAAAAGTTCAGATTAAAAAAAAAAGTTCAAATCTTTTAAGCTAACATTTAGGGTTTCTCATTTCCCGTAAATTTAGCATCCCGGGATTCCCGGTGTGTAACTTATTTATCCCGGGATTTCCCGGGATTTCCCGGCATAATTTTTAATATAATAACAAGCGGTTTCTGAAACAAATTTATCTTAGCACGCTAATCTATATTACTATTTAAAATGAAATATTGTTTTAAAAAACATAAACAATCAATTGATTTGTCACTTAATCGTGAACGAATTTTTCCCATAAATAGACCCGCGGCAGAAAAAGCCCTTTCTGATTCAATTGATGTCGGCTTGATAGTCATTAATGTTGAGTATATTCTTTCTAAACTTTCGCTACGCTTTCCAGTTGCCTCAAAAAGTTTGATTTCTTTTGTGAGGTTTTTTAAATTGCTAATGTTTTCTAGAGCTGCTTTTTCTACTTGTTTGACATTACAAATAGTCGCATCCAATTTTTGTTCAAGCGTCAAAATACTTTTGCCTAATAAATATGGAGCAACAGGTTGAGGTATTGACGGGTCAGAAACCATGCTTTCATTATCACGACTCACTTCAACTATTTCATTATTTGATGAACTAAGGCTAGCATCCTCTATGTACAACCTGGTATAAATTTTTTTTGCTGTTGCTTTTAATGCATGTTTGGGCGGTAAGAGTAGTTTGGAGTTGATATTTGATTCCTGATTATAACTAATTGGGTTGTTTAAAAATTTTAGTAATCCAATTAAATTGGCATTTCTGCGTTCTTCAATTCTCTGCTGCACAGATTAAAGCAGTTTATTAGCTATAAAATTTTTTTTCTCCGTCAAATCGTCTAAGATGAATATCATTACACCTTCTGCGTCAAGTAGAGTAGCATTACTTCTACCAAGTCTTTCTATTCCAACTTTTATTGGTTGCAGAGAAAATGTTATGTCGTTCATAATCGCATATTCATCTTCGGAGGTATTCAGAACTTCTTTTAAATCGATCATTGCTTTTAGTATACATGTTTTTACTTTAAGGAATCTTTCTAGCATTGCAACAAGACTATTCCACCTCGTTTTGACATCTAATATCAGCTTAAGCTCTTTATTAAACATAGATTTTACGTACATTTGTAAAACTTCATTTTTAAGAGGTGATTTACGGAACATTCGAACCACTTTTCGAACCTTCTGAATTGTTAAGGCTATATTTACGCTATTTTGTAAATCATCAATAAACGTAACGCCTGTTGAGCTGTTTGACTCATCATTACAGTCAAATACATCATCAAACTCGTCGTAATCACTCAAATTTTCATCGGAATCTTGAAACTGCGATTCAAATTCAATATATTTTGCTGAAGAGTCTGACTTTTTGTAAAGAACATCACATACTGCCAAATGAAGTCCGTGGGCATAACACAGCTGATGTTCAATACCACTTAGCCGTCCAAATTTTTTCATTACGGATGCTCCGTCAGTGACACTAGCTATGATGTGCTTTTTAATTGATAAACTGAAATCTGACAGTTTATTTTCAACTAGATCAACAATTTTTTCTGCAGGAAGTGATCCAGCTATCGGAGTCATTCCCAGGTTCCAAAACTTTGTTGATAAGTGTAAATTTACATTTAAATAACGTCGATTTTTTAAAGACGTATATTCGTCTAACGATAAAGAAAATCGCGACCCGCTAGAAATTTCTTTTGTTATCTCTAAAACCACAGTTTGTCTAGCTAATTCATATTGTTTTTTTATCATACCCATAACATGGGATGGATTTTTTGGTAATAACATGCCTTTTTCAGACAATGATTTTCTAATGAATTCACTTTTTGTTATGGCATTTATTGAGAAGCCATCCACCGTTGCTAGCTTTGACACAATTTACTCGATAGTCTGCTGTTTAACAAACAATGTTATTTTCTTTTGAACAATTTTATTTTCCGAACCAGTATCTTCAAGTAGACGCTTCATATTTAGATCCAAATCTTTATGTGTGTTTTTTAAATGACGTAGGAGCCCACTGGTCGAAAATCCTTTGCACATTATCTTTACATTGCACTTTTTGCAAATTGCAGATTCGCCAGATTTTTCTTTACAAAAATACTGCCATGCTTTGGATCCATTTACAATTGACATAGTATAACTAAATTGAATCGCAGAACAACTAAAAGTAAAGTTACAAATATTTCTTACATATGTATGTTATCTTACGTATGACTTTTATGTGTTTGTTTGCCGTTTTTTAAATACAAAAATTATTAAATATTTCAATAATTTGATACAGAAAAAGTTTAACTTTTCAATAATTTAGAAGTTTAAAAATTAAACTTACTGTTTTCGTCGCAAGAAATCTTTTTTATTTTTTACTCATATTTTATAATAATGAGAAAAAAGAAAACATTGCATTGCAATGCATTTCTTTTTAGTTTAAGATAGTTTCAATAGCATTTCTTGTTGTGCTAGGTTTTAATATAAGGTATGAACACATAAAACACAACTAAATGCAATAATATTTTTCTTATTTTTGGTCGAATTAGTTCAAAGTTATCATATGTAAAATTATTTTAAAAAAAATTATATTCCGGGATATAAGAGTGATATCCCGGGAAATCCCGCTGCCACTTTTATCCCCGGGATCCCGGGAAAACGGGATCCCGGGATCCCGTTTGAGAAACCCTACTAACATTTTAATAAAATTATTCAGCAATAGCAAAGTTGTCGATAAAGTTAAACAAAAATACTTTCTTTTAGTTTTAGATTTTTAACTTAAATAATTATTTTACGGGGGTTTGTTAGGTTTTAAAATTATTCCATAGATTTAAAAATATTTATTAACTGTTAGACGTATTTAAAGTATGTAAGAGTAATTTCGAGGAAACATTTTAAAAATTGGTGAGCGCAAATAAAATAAAAAAGGATTAATATTAAAACGTATTCTACTTGATTCAATAAAAAAAGTACAGTTATTAAAATTTTTGTAACTCAAAAAAATTACTTAAATAATAACGATCGCTTTTATGTTAAAAGTTACCGAAACTCATGAAAGCGTGCTCAAGAACAGCTACAGAAAAATAGAACGTCAATAGTTTTTCGAATAATTTTTAATAATAATTTTTTCGCTGAAATATTTCTTTTATACCAATAAGATTTTTATTCTAACATTTTATTTTATTTTACTAGAAATAAAATTCCTTGTTAACATTAAAAATCTATTCAAAACGTTCGTTTAAGTTTTTTATTAATACGAGTGATTGTGCTTATCAACCGCTTTATGAAAATAAATAAAAATAAATAAATAAATATTATATAAAATCGCTTGTAAAAATATTAGCTATTGCACAGTTTTTAATCGTACAATATTAAAATTTCCAGTTTATTACTCGCTGACTTTTTAAAAAGAAAAAATAATTATTTAAAAAACTTTAAATTACATATTTAAGAAAAAAAAAATCAAATATTTTATAATCTATTTTAAACTTAAGTTATAATGTTTTTTATTCATTTAGTATAGACAAAACGTGACAAACGTCGAGAAAATAAACAAATGTTTTTACATTTTAAAAAACGAAACATTCCAAAACATTTTTAAATAATAACATTTCTACATAAACGATTTAAAGTAGTTTTGCGGTAATTAAGTAAATTGGTGCAGTTAATGTCGATAAATATGAAAAGCAAATAAAAAGAATTTAACGACGTCAAAAATCACGTCGTGCTTATGCGTCGCGCAGTTATTATTCATCGCAAGGCCTGTATATATATATATATATACACATGTATACATATATATATACACATGTATATATATATACACATGTATATATATATATATATATATATATATATATATATATATATATATATACATGTGTATATATATACATGTGTATATATATATATATATATATATATATATATATATATATATATATATACATATATATATATATATATATATATATATATATATATATATATATATATATATATATATATATATATATATATATATATATATATATATACATGTATATATATGTATATACAGTTTTGGACAAAACATTTGGAACCAACATAGAACAATGCTAAAAAGTGTTCCTAATTTTATGTCTTAAAAATGAAACAAACTATACTACCACAGCAAACAGTTCAGGAGTCTGGAGTCATAGCATGCCATGATATGAGCAATCAGCTGACAGGTGACAGCACACAGGCAGAATTTCGTTGACAAGTGCCATTTTGCAGCATACAAAACAAGTGCAACTTTTGTGGTTTGTTTCATTTTCTCAAGTCTGGTCCGTGTCAACGTCACGGAAGTTTTTTAATAATTAAAGGAAGTATCCAGAAGTTTCCAGAAGCATGCAGAAGCTTCCAGAAGTTTCCAGAAGTTTCCAGAAGAAGCATTAGGAAGCATCTGGAAGCATCCAAAAGTATCCAGAAACATTCAAAAGCATTCAGACGCATCCAGAAGCTTCCAGAAGTTTTGAAAAGAAGCATCTAGAATCTTCCAGAACAGGTTTACACAGGTTCATTTTACTATATAAGAGACATGTAATTCAGTCAGTATATGGAAGTCAATCAGTCAGTATTATCAAGACAGTTTATTGAAGTGAGTTTTATCAAAGTCTTTTATCGAAGAACATCAATACCAGAAGTGAAATACAACAAGTGTTTCATTACATCAATACATTCCACATCCAACCAAGACGTTATGTTCCACAGAGCCATATTTTATCATCACAAGGTAAATGTAACACAGTAAGCCTTGAGAAGTGTGGTTATTTATTTTTATTATTTTTATGACTTCAAGTGCAAAAATGGTTCCCAACAGTCTTGGATTGGAACTAAGAGAGAAAATTAATTGTGATTACTTAAGTGGAATGTCACAAAAAAGTATTTCTGATAAATATTGCGTGAAAAAATAGATCGTATCAAGAAAATGTTCCAAATAATGTTCTACAGGGAAGTTATCAGCAGATAACAATGGTGGAAGACCTCGTTCCACCACTTCTAGAGAGAATTCTATGATTGTCAGATCTGTCAAGAAGGATCCCTGGATATCATTAGTTGAGATACAAAAGCAGTTAGAGCTGCCTGTACGTCAAGCGTCCGGAAAACACCTTGATTTACGTTACTGCCATAAGACCGGGAAGCATGGTGGAGGCAATGTAATGGTCTGGAGGTGTTTTCTGCTAACGGTCTAGGTCCAATACATCGAATCGATGGAATAATGGAACGTTTCATGTATAAAAATATCCTGAAAGATGTTATGTTACCTCATGCTGAATGGAATATACCAATAAAATAGGTTTTTCAGCAAGACAACGATCCCAAACACACTGCAAAAGTAGTCAAGCAGTGGTTTCAAGACAACCATCTATTGGTGATGGATTGGACGCCTCAATCTCCGGATCTCAACCCTATCAATACCAGTGGGAGATTGTTAACCGCAGAGTTAATCATGAATGTGTTTGTAATACACAGTGTCACGAAATGGTCATCAACCTTAACCTCATGTCCCGAGAAAACCCTTTGGTGGGATGATAGCCCACATATAGTAGATCACTTAGATATAAATTTGGAAATCGAACTATGACGTCCGAGAGAGATATTTTAGTTTTTATTTTGTTCAATTCTGGCATATCAAAATTTAAACGAGATGATAGGAATTTGGCATTTTTTCAGTATTTATAGAGCAAAAAGTTAATTTTTCCATATATTTCTATAAGTCATATAAACAAAAACATATTTTACAATAAAATTGATCCTTTTTATTCTAAAATGAATGTTTGCTGTTGAAATCAATCACACAATTCAGAAGCTTTGATTCAGATTCTGGATGGTTTCTTGCCCGTTTGTAACGCTGCCAATGGGAACTGAAGTCGTGATGAACAGATTCTGTAGCTTGCACTGAGAAAATGCTAAGACTAGAATTGTGTCTAAGGATAAAATCCTTCAGGTGGAAAAACACCGCATGTGCTTTGGGAGTGACTGAAGTATTTGGCAACTTCAGGTACGACTCCTGAAACTGTAAAATTTTTTGTTCAAAATGGGGGCTCAAGTGATTTCCAAAGCAAGCATTCACCAATGAGTCAAAATGTCTCAATGTTTCAACAAATGGCACAGCAAGAAAAAATGAGCTTTGCTCAGCTAAACTTTGAAGGCGATCAGTGTTTTTCAAGAGCTTGCGGCAGTCATTCCCTGCAAATTGGCCACCATGAAAAGACTGCTCTTGAATATGAAGGGCTGCTGGCCATTCATTTGCTGCGGGCCAAATCTGGCATAAACTTTTGTAGAGATGGTTAACGACTCCAAGAAGCAGATGAAGCTCCATGGGAGGAATGATGTCCAAAATCAGTGTGTCATCTGGCAGAGTCATTATGGGTTCATGGATGACGTTTTTGAAGTCTTTTGCTCTCCTTGCATTGGCACCACTGCTTTGAAACTGCAGAAAGTTCTCTCGAATTGAACCAAGTGTTTTGAAACTTCCAGAGCAACTCAAATCTTTTGATTCTGCATCACACCATGAACAAGGATGTGCACTTGTATGGGACTGAAGACCACAAACAAGATTGGCGACTTTCATGTCACAAGAGATTATGTAGGAATGTTTGTGAAGTTGAAGAGAAGAAATTATGCTTTTCAAGTTGTCATAACTCTCTGGCAGATCTTCTGAAATTGCCATCAGAAGTTGCCGTTTGACTCCTGTGGCTTTAAGCCCTCGTTTTGGTGGTGGAGAATTTGAATCTGTGTTTCTGGCAATGATTCTAAGAGATACTTTCAAAAACCCACCACCTCCATCAATGCCAATCTTCATCAGCGGATCTCCTGAAACATTCCTTACTTTGAAAACGTGATTTGCAAGACTTCCTACATCTGGGAAAAAAACAAGCAGTCGTGAAGGGTGCTGGTCATCATTCTTTGTAGAATCTCGTATGGCCTTGGTCTCAAAATGCTCAGAAAGAGGTTTCCCAAAACTGTCGAATTTTTCTCTGAAATTTTTTTCTACAATCCGGAGAGGTGTAGCTTGGTTCAAAGATGATGCCAATTTGGACATGCCACGATTTGACAATCTAGTTCCAATTTGGACTCCAACCATGTCTTGTGCCGTGAGCTTGGGCACAGCAGGAAACAATTCTCTTGCACTTGATGGTTCTAAAGAACATTTAATGGCCGAGGTTAAAATTTTCTACATTTACATTTTAAAAGAAATTTATAAGTGATTTATGCTTAAATCTATATTGCTTTACCTGGAACAACGGAAAAACGATTTCCTACAAGTGGTTGACTTAGCCGAACAGTGCCATGAGGTGATGGAGTTTTATTAGCAATTGTTAATGATGCTACCCTCTCTGCCGCAATGCGATCCCTCGAAGCAACTTCCACTAAATTTTGCCTTAATGTTCCTGTTGTGCAATTGTGAGGCAATCCGCGACCAATCACAGAGAAGCAATCAGTGCACCTTTTTTCAATGCTTGAATTTTCTTTGGGTTTCGGTGGTTCCAAAGGATGACGCTGATTCATATTTGTCCTTGCAGTTTGACAAATCAAACAATTACAAGGAATATTTGTTGCAGCACGCTGAACTGAGATGGTGCTAAAATCAAAGAGCCTTGGGATAGGTGCATCCTCCCCTTCTTCTCGTCTGCGAATAGCCACACGACATCTTTCACAAATTCCACAAGGGATTTGAAAGTTTGAAAAACCAAGCTCATTTTTGAGGACTGTGCGAATTTTCTCCACTAAAAAACTTGTGATTTTTGATTTGCCTTCTTCAAACATAGGAAACAAACACATTTTCGGTTTTCTTCACGAGTTTTAGCTTTGTTAGGCATTTTATCAAACTTTCAATGTGTCTTATTTGAAAAAAACTGAATGTGCACCTATTTCCTGGAATTATCAAAATTGAAAAACAAACAAAAAATAATAATGATTTCAAAAATCTGCTCCAATTAATTATATAATGTCTCAAATAGTACTCTAAGCAACGTAACAACAAAAATGCTGTAAAAATGCCAAATTCCTATCTCATTTAAATTTTGATATGCCAGAATTGAAGAAAATAAAAGCTAAAATATCTCTCTCGGACGTCATAGTACGATTTCCAAATTTATATCTAACTGATCTACTATATGTGGGCTATTATCCCACCAAAGGGTTTTTTCGGGACATGAGGTTAAGGTTGATGGCCATTTTGTGACACTGTGAATAAGGATGAACTGTTTGAACAAATCCAAAAGGCTTACGCAGCGATTCCACAAAGTTTCATTAATCACCTGATCAAATCTATGCCTTAAAGATGCAAGTCTGTGATCGACAACAAAGGATTCACCACAAAATATTGATAGCAAAATACAGCTTGGTCAACATTTTGTGGAGTTGCACTTGTTTTGTCCAGAAGGAAATCAACTTTTTTTAATACTTTTGATTAATTTATTAATTTTCGTGTACAAATAATGAACTTTGTGATGAATAAAATTTAAAAAACGTTGTCTCTAAACAGTTACATAGTTATTTCTCTAAATTGAAAAAATGCAGCACTTTTATACAAAGAAACTAAATTAACATCATTTGGTTGCACTGGTTTTGTCCGATACTGTATGTATATATATATATATATATATATATATATATATATATATATATATATATATATATATATATATATATATATATATATATATATATATATATATATATATATATATATATATATATATATATATATATATATATATAATATATATATGTATATATATATATATATATATATATATATATATATATATATATATATATATATATATATATATATATATATATATATATATATATATATATATATATATAATATTTCAAAATAGATTCAGAATTCTACATGTCTTTTAAAGTCATTTAAATGTCATTAATGTTTATATTTTAGATATCGGCGACGTGGAAGAAAATGTTGACGGCATTGAAGAAATATAGTTTCTTATGTATATTTTTGTGAAATAAAAATTAAGTAATGTTAGTTAAAATGTTTCTTTACTTATTTAATTTAATCCTTTTTTATGACTAATTTAACCGCTTTAACACCTTTGTATCAAACAAGTCCCAGCAAACAAAAAGATATCTAAAATGCATCTAATATGCATCTAAAAACTGGTCTAAAAGACGTCTAAATTCACGTCGTGAACGGGACATAAATAGATGTCTATCTTATAGATGTCTTTTAGATGTATTTTATTCGACACAAATAAATGCCTTAGATGCATAAAAGATGTGAAATATACATTTAAAGATGTATATTAGATGCATAAAAGAGCTATTATTAGCTTAAAAAATTATTTATTATCTATCTTTTTTAAACGCGCCTCAGACATCTATTTAAGCGACGTATTTTATACATCTAATATGCATCATTAAGATGTATATTTCACATCTTTTATGCATCTAAGGCATTTATTTGTGTCGAATAAAATGCATCTAAAAGACGTCTATAAGATAGACGTCTATTTATGTCCCGTTCTAGAACTGAGTTTAGACATCTTTTAGACCAGTTTTTAGATGCATATTAGATGTATTTTAGATATCTTTTTGTTTGCTGGAAAAAACTTTTTATGTTTTTATTTAAATTATTTAATATTTATTGTAATTGAAAGTTTCTATATTGAATTAGTTTTCAATTTAAAAGAATAACGATGACGTATTAAACCCTTTATTTTAACAAAGCAGCAAAAGCCACCAGCTGTAATAATTACTTTATTTTAACGAACTATTTGTTACACGAACGGAATAAATCCTTAATTTTAATAGACTAATATCGACGAACTTTAATCCGTTAAAATTTAAATCCGTTAACATAACAGAAAATCCGTTAGTGCAATAGCGACAGATGCAGCTCGTTGTATATAACGGACTTTTTCTTTGAATGCAATATTTGCTAAGTATCGATTATAGCAAGCTAAGTATCGATAATAGTATCGAGATAGTAACAAAGTTAAAAAACATGCTTAAAGAAGATACACTTTGGAAGTTTGTTTTTTAAGTTACGTTCTGAATGTCTTTTAAACGTTTTTTAAACGTCTTGTAAAAGTTCTTTACGTAAGAATGTTTAAAAGACGTTAAAAAGACATTTAAAATACATTTAGAACGTAACTTTTAAAAACAAATGACCGCTGGGTAGTAACAAATTTAAAAAACATGCTTTTTTTTAACTTTGTTACTACCTAGCGGGCATTTGTTACTCGAAGAGAAAAGAGCTTCATCTTTTCTCTTTGAGTAACTTCCAACTCTAATAGTGGTTGGTTGCTTTCTTGATATAAACGAAGATATTTTCTAAAAAAATCTTTTTTAAGCATGTTTTTTAATTTGTTTACTATTTTCTTTAAGAATTTTAATTAAACCCCTTGCACCTTTTTGATGAAACGCCGATGAATCCTTCAGATCAAACTTTATATTTAGAAATTTAAAAACTCAGTCATGTGTGTCTTTATAAGTGCAGAACTAAAAAACAATTCAAACAAAAATTTTGTAACAGTAATAATTTTCGGACATCGATACAATATTATGTTTTAAAGTCCATCATTATAGTTTTTCCCATTATTGTCTCTCCATGTCTCATTCATTCGTGTCTCTCCATGTTTCATACACTTTTTTAAGAAGAAATTGAAGCCACCTACAAACTTAGATGGAGTAATAAACCTTAAAGTATTTTAAAATGTGAGTTTGTGATTAGAAAAAGTAATAATAGGCCATAAAAAATATGATTTAACAAGAATAATGGTGTTGTTGCTAGGACTGTTGCTAATGATATTTTTTTAGACTAACTTATCTTATTTTACTACCTTTTATACTATGTAACCTTTTTATACAATAAATTTTTACTATCTTTATACTATCCAAAACATGTTAATTATAAAAATGAAGCATCCGGGTTCAGAAATCACTTTAAGAGTCTTGACTAATCAGTTCCAATTTTAGTTTATATTTGATTAGGATAAACAATGTTGATTAGGATACACAAATATATTTACAAACAGAATGCTGTTACTATTTTTTTCAACATTTTAAAAAGAAGATTGATGTACGTGGTACTATCGTGAACTATGAATTTATTGTATACACGTTCTCAACCATTATTTATAAAATTAAATATACTGAAAATTACCAATGAATCTTCTAACTTTTTTTTTTAAAATTGATAAAAGTAATAAAGGTTTCAACAAGTATTTAATTTACATATACGCTTAAACTTAAAAACTTCATGTAACTTACCAACAATAATTATAGAAACATTCTTCATTTTTATTTTAAAAAGTTGTATCATAATTTAACTTTTTAATTTTAGATTTAGTTAGATATAGAAATAGTTCTCTATATAAATATACGCATTATAAAGAATAACTCATTTAGTTATGCTTTTTTATTTAAACCTCTGACGTATTGGTTTTGTGTTTTACTTTTTATAATCTCATTCAATCTCTTGTGGTTGTATCTTTTCATTAATAGTTAAACTTTCAGTGCATTTAAAGTATTAAAATATTCACAATCTTACAAGTATTCATAAAATACACACTATTCACAAAGTACCTTCTTTACTTTTGGAGGCAGATAACTACGCTCTTTATAAAGTTAAGTCTGTTTTTTCCGCATCTTAGTGTATGGCGTCAGCGAGGCAAATAGGTGGAGAAGGATATACTACAATATATTTAAAGGCCAAAAATTGAACATAAAAAATTAGTAGTGAAGATACTTGGGCTTGGGTTTGAGGCAGTTGCTGAGAATTCCGCTATATCTAAATTTTTTATATAAACAGTTACTCTATTTTCATTATCAAAACGGTGCAAAAAAGTTGAGTTATTTTATTTGAATAAAATTAATTATTAACTTTTTTGATATCGACTGTATAACTGCTTGACTTAGGATGGTTAGGAAGCATAAAATCGAGGCAATATAGAAACATTCCAGCAAACATTTACATACGGGTACCCTGTGGGGTAACGTTCAGTTAATATTGTATAAATATTCGTAAAATGTCGGTTAAATATCTGTTTGCTGATAAATAATACAAATTTATTTTTTGTCCAACATACATTTAGTCAACGTTCATCTTTTGTTTGTTACTAATTACTTATAAATTACAATTAATTTTATAATTGATTAATGGCATCCATTATCTTACGAAATTAGTTTCAAACTGTTCCGGAAAAAAAAAGAACAAGTTCTGAATTACTGACGTTTTTTACAACATTACATGGTAAGTTGATATTTATAAATTAATAAGATCATCTGGTAACTATATTTATTGAAGTTTTTGCGCCATAAACTTGTTTAATCAGTTTTTATCAATTTGAGTTTTTACATTTTTTATCACAATTTGACAAGTCAAGCTCATAGCATTTTATGAATTAACAAAATTTTGTTTGACAACATCTTGGTAAATCACTACGGTTTATTTAAACAAAACAAAAAACAGGTTTTTTGGTGAGAATAACATAAATCTTAAAATCGCAACAACAAAAATGAAGTAGCATGTTTTTTCACAAATATAGTAATAATGACAATTATAACAATAATATTAATAATAATAATAAAAATGCGCACAATCGTTACAGATAAAAAACCTTCCATTCTTTGCAATGACTTAAGTATATAGTTAATGATTTGTAAGATTCTAATAGCGCCGATTATTCAAAAATACCTTTAAAAGCTCAAAAAATCTAGAAAAATTAAACTTTAAAAGAGTGTAATGCGTATAAATAGTCATCCAAAATAAAATATTAAAATATTTTATTAAGAAAACAATATTTTAGAAACAATTTAAAACCGTGTATTAAAATTTGTTTATGAGGGTCATAATGGGATGGGCTAATGTGGTTTTTAATTTTCCATATAATAATTTTAAATAACGTTCATGGGTCAGCTAGGTTGGCATTATTCATAATAATCAGGTGCAGAAAAATTTTGTTAATGTAAACAAACCTAAACTTATATCTAAAACTATAACTTGCTCTCCAATTTCCGAACAACTTCCTTTCTTAAAACAACATCGCCATAAGTTGTTTTTTTTCTGAAAACAACATTCTTTTATTTTCTAATAACGACCATTATATTTATATATAAATTTATGATTATATATTTGTATTTGAAATATTGTAAAAAAAAAAAAAAAAAAAAAAAAAAAACATCGCCGTAAGTTTTTTTTTTTTTCTTAAAACAACATCGCTATAAGTTTTTTTTTTTTTCTTAAAACAACATCGCCATAAGTTTTTTTTTTCTACTATTAAAACAAAATCAAAATTCATTGACAACCTTTATAGTTTACAATAATTTTTTTATTTTTTAAGATTTATGGTTATATAAAAATTTAAATTGCTTTAATTTATCATTTAAAATAACTTTAAATGGTCATAACTTTTAGGCGACAATTTTTTTGAGATGAAATTTGATATGACTTTACCCAATGGTAGAGAAAGACCTTTGTGAAAAATACCTTGACTCTCTGTATTTAGATTTTCAGAACTTATGATACTAGGTTTTTGATTTTCTTATTTTAACTATATTAAAAAGTTTTATCATATCAAAAAATTTTAACAAATTTTTTTGAACTTGATGAATTTGAAAAAAAATTGCGTCTAATAACTGAAACTATTAGATTTATCATTTGCTTGTTTGTTCATTTACCTTTCACTTATTTGTTCCTTTTTTTTATTATTAATGTAAAAACGAAGAAAAGATGTTGCTAGTTGTTAATTATAGCAATTATAACTTATCACAAGCTTTTTCATGTGACAGATGATGTAATAACGTGTTTTGAGGCGTAATCTAAATAGATAATATAAATACAGATAAAACAAATGCAGCAGTAAATTTTATTAATGCATATCATAAGTTTTGTTTGTGGCAATCATTTCCAGTAATTCCAATAAGTAGTTCCAAATATTGGAAGGTACATGTTGATTTTGTTATACATTTACTTTTCAAAAAAGGAAGAACTTTAGGTCAATAAATACTGCTGAAGAGATGAATTTTTTCTAAAAAATAAAAAAGAATATATAACTTTATTAAAACTAAGTTTAGAACAAAATTATTTAGCGGTTATCACAGTATCACTGACCTTCAAAATAGAAAAAAGTTACTGAGACAGGTTTTTAGGGATACATAGAGACTTCATGGTGCTTGGGAGTAGATAATTTTTTGATAACCCATTTCCTCATAATTCATCACAGGAATCAAGAAACAAATGTTGTTGATATTATAAAACGTTTACATAGAGAACATTCATCAAAGTTGTCAACCAACCTAAAAGCAGAATAAAAAACTAATTAAACCTCGAAGAAATTGAGAAATAGTGACAAATATGCAAGCAAAAATTTGAAATATTTCTAATATTTAAAAAACAACAACGTCATTTTGTCTTCTTTGGACAAAAAAATATTATTATCAATAAATCAAAAACTTTTTTGGTTAAGGATCTCTTGGGGTAATTTAGGTATAAAAAGTAACTATTTGCAACTTTTAAGTTACGCTATGTTATTTCCTTTGTGGTCTTCTAGAATATTTTTGTCTAAGATTTGAAGTCATAGGCTTATTAGTAAAAACATTTAAACCGTTAGTTGTCGTATATTTTTGTTTAACTGTTCTTCTTTTAATATTTCTCGTACGTCATCAGCTGTAAGAACGTCTCTACAATTTCCACCTTTATCTTTTTGTCTTGTAAATTTTTTAAGCTGTACACACATGATCATGTTGATCAGGTGATGTACGCACATATTTTTTTTTTTTTTGAACATGTTTATTTTACAACTACAAAGTATTTGCAATTGGCCAATCACCGATTGGTGAATAAAAATATAGAAATATAAATATCGTAAACATAAAGTCCAAAATAAATAAGGGATAAATCTAAAATATTGTTACATTCAACTTTGAGACATGATAAAAATAAATACAAAGTACACAATAGAATAACGTGTACGTAAAAATTACCCAAGAAATAAACCTTCTATATTATTTCAATTAAAATAATATTATATATATATATATATATATATATATATATATATATATATATATATATATATATATATATATATATATATATATATATATATATATATATATATAAAAGTATGATAAAAACAAGATTTGTATAAGATTGAAGAAAATAATTATTTGTTTGTAGTTATAGAAAGTTATTGTTCAGGTTGATCAGGTGATATACGCACATGTTCAGGTTGATCAGGTGATGTACGCACATGTTCAGGTTGATCAGGTGGTGTACGCACATATTCAGGTTGATCAAGTGATGTACGCACATGCTCAGGTTGATCAGGTGGTGTACGCACATATTCAGGTTGATCAAGTGATGTACGCATATGTTCAGGTTGATCAGGTGATGGTATGGTTATGATTGCATCCATTAGCTTTCTTATTAGTTACATTCTAGTTGATAAGACTAATGAATTTAAACAACCTGAGTTTGATAGAGGTTTTCATGACGTATATTAATTAATTAATTTTCTAAGGTTTAAAAGTTTAAAGTTCAGCTGTAAGGGATAAGTTATAAATCAAGAGACTTCCAGGTCTATCAAATAATTTCACTTTCTACATGTGTATGTTTTCCTGGCACTTTTAGGAATAAGTACTTTACCCTAAGTAGAGTAAGTACCTAGGCCAGTTTTGTCTAAAATCATTATTCTTTTCAGATGGTCATTCAAACTGTCTTTATCCAGAATGTTTTGATAAATTTAAAAAAATACATCCACCACATATCTAGATAGTTCTTCCGCCCTTACTTTAATGAATAACTTAGGCTTTCGCCCCTTAATTTCTACTTTCCATCTTCTTTTAAAGTTTATAAAGCAGTCATTACAGGGTGTGTCATTTTTAAATAGTATTTTCCTACCCAATAACTGCACATAACTGTGCGCCGTATATTGAAAATCTTTACAGTCTAGTGGATATCCACTAGATATCTGCTGTAAAAATCAAGACATCTACTATGTGTTTTACTTTTTCTCTTGTCGATACAGTTCCTCAAACTATTGTTTCAAAATTTGTAGATTCCTTTGTAGATTATTAATTACTACCATATTTAACAGATTTTTTTTCATATATGTGCGTTTATTTTAAAATTTACGGTATTTATACCCACGCTACCCTAAACTTTTCAATAATTAATACAAAACAGATAATATATTTAAGCGGTCCAAATTAATAAAAAATTAAAGTTTTTATATGTAATGCATACATACCAAAACTAGATAAAAAAAATATCTCAACGGAGTAGCAATGTTTATATGTTATTTATAATTTTAGAGGGTTTTTTTATATGTTATGGTTTTTTATATGTTATAACAAGTACATGTGCAAAACATATATGACAAAAGTGACGAT